CGGCTCGGCAGTCGTGTCGCCACCGGCACACCGATTCCGAGAGTCGATTTCGTCGCTCTGTCGCTCTCGCACTCATGGGGCGTTGCGTATGGGTGCGAGAGAGACAGAGCGACAAAGACGACTCGCGGAATCAGTCTACAGCGGTGCGGGTCGTCGGCCAGGTGCGCACGTCCAGGAAGCCGCCTCCCTCAAGTGCCGCCGCCGGTCCGACTCAGGGTCCGCGACGGCCGTGGCGGTGGCGGCCGCGCGCGCGTCCGGAGCACGGCCGGGCTGCACGACACGGCAAGGGCGGCCGTCGACGCGCCGTCCCGGGGCACGCCGGGGCTCTTGTGGCACGGCGGGCACGGCGGGCACGGTGCGCAGGCACGCGCGGGGGGCAGGCTGCCCTCGAGGCTGCCTTGAAGGCGCGGCTTGCGTGCGCACACCCGCGCCCCCGACGTCGTCGTCACGGCCAGGACGGCATCCGCATCGTCGTCGTGGTTCTCGCCTGCACTCGGAGCTCTGGGTCCCCCGGTGGCGCCGTGGACTCGCCGCGACTGACGACGGCGACGTCGGTGTCCGCCCGAGGACGGCGGCGACCCTGCAACGCCGTGGGCGCCCAGTCACGTCGCGCACCAGCGCGCCAGCAAGCAGGCCGATGTGGAGATAGAAACCCGGATGCACTCACCGCGAGGCGCGAGCCACCGCTTGACGGCGACGTACGTGGGTCGCGGCGGTCGCGGCGCCGAGGCCAGGGTCGACGGCCTCCTCTTGTGGGGCCGCAGCGAAGGCCGCGGCGCGGCGCCCGCCCTGCCGGTGTTCCTGCCGGAGGCCCTGCCGGCCCTCGTCTTGGCCGGCCGCGACGCCCGGACGACGGCCGCGCGCTTCTGCCGCGGACGCCGTCGCCGGATCACGCCGGTGGCGTACATGCTGTACGCGTCCCTGGGCTGCGGCGCGACAGGCAGACAACGTCATGGTCCTTCTGCCGGTCTGCCGAGCAGGAAGCCTGCAGACTCTCGTCGCACCGTCTCTCTCGCCACCAGTACGCAATACGAGAGCGAGAGAGACAGCGACCGAAACGACTCTCGGAATGAGTCCGCCGCCCCGCCGACGACACGAGTACTCGACAAATTGGCGTGATGATGGAGAAAGGAAACGCAACAGTGGGACAGTGGGCCGCGCGGGGGATGGAGCGGGAAAAAATGCTAACGCGGCGAGAGCAAGCGAGAGGTAAACAGCGCGCAGCCAGCGCAAACAACGACAGAGCCGGCGGATCTCCCTGGAGCCTCGTGGTCCTGGGGCGAGGGGAGGGGGACGATGGCACTGCCGGCGTTTTGTTTGTGTGCGCACTCCGTTACTCCGCGCCATCCGCCGCGCACTCCACTGGCTTTATCAGATTCAAAAAGAGGCTGGCAAAACCGAAATGAAGCAGTGGCCGCTGGAGTGGTGCTCGAGGTCGAGGACGAGGACGTACCGCGGGGCGCAGGCGCTCGCCGTAGACGGCCGCCCCGGGCTGCCCGATACCGGCGCCCCAGCCCCACGGCGCGCCGAGTGGCGCCGGCGTCGGCGTCGACGTCGACTGGTTCGCCGTGCTCTGCTGCCTTCTGCTCGCGTTGGCCGTCGCCAGGGTGGTGGCCGTCGCCGAGGTCGACGACGTGACCTGGTCGCCGCGCAGCCCCCACGCCTCCAAGCTGGACCACTCGTCGGTGGACGGGTAGCGGCGGCTGCGGCGCGCCGCCGACGCTGCAGGTCACATGAGCTCACCGCGATCTTGCGCTCCGGACTCCACAAGCTTCAATTCTACAAGTGTCTGACTGTCGCGGCCGGCAACACGGACCTGCGGACTCGACGGGGAGGTGCACCGTGGCGAGCAGCGGGCAGGGCAGCGGCAGTGGCGGCGGCAGCGCGGCGCCGGGTGGCGTGAGCGACGTGGCTCTGGACCGACTACGCCCTTGCTGGTGGACCGGCTCTGCGGCACGTTAAAGATGGAGTGGGCCATTTAAGGTCTGCCTTTTTCGCGGACACTGTCCAAGAACTTCCAAGCGCGCGTCAAGGCGTGTAACAACGCCCGACTGGACTCGAACCCGGGCCCAAGTCCGAGTCGCCCTCACCGCTGGCCGAGCGCTCGGCCGTCCGCGACGCGCCCCGGGACGCCTGGGGCTGGCACGGCTGGGACGGCACCCTCACCAGCACCTCGCTGATGTCCTTCCCCTTGGCCGTGACCCTCCTCGCCGCCACGGCCTGGCCCGCGGCCTGGCCCGAGGCCTGGCCGGCCCGGCCCGGCGTGCTGTGGGCACTCGGCCTGGCATTGAGCGACGCGCCAGCGCCGCCCGGCACACTGGAAGAGAAGGACCCCGTCACGCCGTCAGGCCGTGAGGTCGTCACATGCGGTGGCGTGGGCGTGTACCCCGCGCCGCCCCGCGCCCATTCCAAGCCCCCAAATTGCGTTTCACCGTCTTAAAAAAGGCCGGAATGTTTGAAGTGTCCATACGGACGGTTAGCAAGAGAGGGGACCTTCAGGTGGGGTGAGGTGAGGTGGCACACCACTTTTCCTACTCTCACGACACGCGCACACTCAACACAAACACACACACACACACACACACACACACACACACACACCAACGCACACACACACGCACACACACACACGCAAACTACGGTGACGGACACGCGGAGGTGTAGGCGGAGGGCAGGCCACTGTTGGGGAATTCCCACGCACTAAACACCGCCTCTTTGCTTGGGTTGGGACGGACGACAGGGACGCGGGCGAGGCGGGCGAGGCGTTAAACTTTAAAAGCTGCTCGCCGGGACAGGGAGCAGAGCGGCAGGGCGGGGGGTGCCCCCTCTCGGTGCCACACTGCCACTGCCACCGCCACCGCCAGGCACGCGAGGGAACCGGACACCGAACTGGGTACCTGAGCGCCGGCCACCCACTTGGAAGCAGTTGAGAGTTCCGCAGGCGCCGACAGTGCCGACTCGTTCAAAAAGCAAACAGTGCGCCGTCAGTTCGGTGCGTTCACTGAGGTTTTCATACCGAGCCGACTGAGGTTGCTGTCCTCTTTTCCTCTTGGGGCCCCTTTCCCCCACCGCCTCTTGTCCATCCACGTTGGAGGGGTGCATTACCGCGGGGCCGCAATCATCATTTAATTTCACTCCACTTATCGGCCTAATCGACACGGCATTGTGTCGCGGCATTCTCCTCCCCCCCCCTTCTCCCCCTCGCCGCCGCTGCCATTGTCTGCCCACGCCGCGGACGCCACCCCCGGCCGCCTCCGACCTCCGCGTCGTCCGTCCTCCTGCTGCGGACTGGGAGTCCGATTTCGTCGCTCTGTCTCTCTCGCGCTCATGGGGCGGCCCGTGCGGGCGCGAGAGAGACAGAGCGACGAAAGCGACTCGGTTGCTTACTGCTTCCAGTGGCCGGCTTGGGGGCCTTGGGGTCCCGGCGCGCTGCTGGCGGGCCTGGGCGCGGTGCGGCCGGCGGGGCCTGCTGCGACGCCTCCACGGCCGCCGAGGGAGTGGGCGGACGAGGCCGGGCGGCAGTGCGGCTGGTGTCCGAGGCCCTGTCCGAGGCCCTGTCCGAGGCCCTGTCCGGGGCCGCGGCCTGGCGGCGAGGCGGCCAGAAGGCAGAAGAGCGTCAATTAGCGGTCCGGCCTTTCTTCGCCGCGCTGCGAAGCTTCGCCATGCTTCGCCATGCTTCGCCATCAACAAGCCCCGTTATTACTTATTCACAGAAAACTTTGGGCCGGGCCGCAACTTTCCCTTTCTCTTTCACGAATTAATCTCCTTTCTTTTTCCCCTCTCGGCGTCGTTATTCTGTCCTTTTTATCGCGGACGAGTCTCCATGGGGGAGGACACGCGCGCCCTCTAGACTGATGCACAGCGGGCCAGAAGACCGTTGGAGGCGGCCAAAACTCTAGACGCGTTTCGAGCTCCAGAGTCGCTCGAACCGAACGTGTGACCCCACCAATGGATTGCTCTTCGAACGAGGAATCCATTGGTGGGGTCACACGTTCGGTTCGAGTCCCATTTAGCGACGCCAGAGCTCAAAACGCGTCTAGAGTTTTGGCCGCCTCCACCGGCCCTCTGGCCCACTGTGTGATGCCGAGAGTCGTTTTCGTCGCTGTCTCTCTCGCTCTTGTGGGGCGCGTGCTGTGTAGGCGCGACAGAGACAGCGACGAAAACGAATTTCGTAACCAGCTTGCTCCGCGAGTTTGCATCGCGCAGCCCCGGGGCCGGGACCCGAGCGCGACCCAGCGCGGCCCGACCCGGCCCACGCCGTGGCAGTCACTTGTCACACTAGAGTACACTACTTTAGCGCGCGGCTCGGTTCCGCGAGACTTGCCCCCGGCAATCCTGTTACAATTACTTGGCGGATCGGGACGCTACACCCACGACGGCACGCACGCCACGCGCCGCCAGACTGAACCCGCCACGCCCGAGCAGACGCGCCTTGCCGTAAAGCTGCGTGTGTGCGCGGCCTCGTGCGCAGCACAGTGGGCCAGAAGACCGGCGCCGGCGGCCGAACCTCTGGACGCGTTTTGAGCTCCAGAGTCGCTAAATGGGACTCGAACCCAACGTGTGACCCCACCAATGAATTGCTCTCCGAACGGGGAATCCATTGGTGGGGTCACACGTTCGGTTCGAGTCCTGTTTAGCGACTCGGGAGCTCAAAACGCGTCCAGAGTTTCGGCCGCCGGCGCCGGTCTTCAGGCCCACAGTGCGCAGCGCGCTGGGGAAGAGCGGATGAACCGGCGGCCCACCCCGCCCCGCCCCGAGGTAGGGAAAAGGCTCCAAGCGGTTCATGGCATTCCGACTAAGGCGAGTTGCACGACAACTTGCGAAACAAGAAATGGCCCCGCGTGGCCCAGGACACCCGGCAGACTGAGAGTCGCTTTCGTCGCTCCGTCTCTCTCGCACCCTAGCGGCACGCCCCATGAGTGCGAGAGAGAGAGAGAGAGAGAGAGAGAGAGAGAGAGAGAGAGAGAGAGAGAGAGAGAGAGAGAGAGAGAGAGACCCACCCTTGGCGGAGTGGCACCGCTTGTCGCTGCTCCTGGCGCGCACCACGATGCGCACGCCGTCCACGCGCTGCAGCCTCACCTGGGAAGGGCCTGCCTCGGGGCCTGCAGCAGAAGCAGAGCCAAGCAAGGCATGAGTACACGGGTCGTCGCCAGGACAGTATCAGCTCTCAACGTGTCAACGTGCAAACGTCGTGTCAGAGGCAGGTTCGCGCGGACGACGCGGGCGCCGTTTGAAAAGCGGTGCGACGGAGGTCGACGTCGACGGCACGGTAAAAACGGAACCTGGTTTTCCCAGGAAGCCAATGGTAAAGGTATAGGCAATTTCCAGGGGGTTCCTGGGAAAACCAGGGACCGTTTTTACCGTGGGGGATCGAATCTCTGACTCGAGCCGCGCCGCTGGTGCTGCGACGCATGCGCCCAACGGTCCACTCCCCACAGGCAGGCTGATACCGGACTACGCTCTGTCTCTCTCGCTCACTGGGGGCGTTTTGTTTGGGTGCGATGGAGAGAGACACGGCCTCCAGTGGCGTGAAAATGTGTCCAGCATTGCATTATGCGAACGCGCGGCCGGAATTTCGGTGACGTTCGATGCGCTTGCCCGGCTTGTCCGCCCCACTGGCCGCGGCCCAACTATTTTTATGGCCGTGGCAGAGCCTGGCAGTGTAGGGGAGGGCGCCCAAACCACCTACACCGCCCACGCCGCACAGTGGGCCAGAAGACAGGGAGGCGCGGCCAAAATTCTAGACGCGTTTTGAGCTCAAATCGAACGTGTGACCCCACCAATGGCTTCCTCGTTCGGAGGGCAATCCATTGGTGGGGTCACACGCTCTGTTCGAGTCCCATTTAGCGACTCTGGGGCTCAAAACGCGTCTGGAGTTTCGGTCGCCGCCGCCGCCGCCGGTCTTCTGGCCCACTGTGCACCGCCCACACACGCCACCAACTTGCAACATAGTTAGGTCGGACTCTGGGCCACCAATCGGCGCGCGACTAATATCCGGGCGCGCCGGAAGGGCCGCCGGGTAATATAACAATTAGTTACCAACAGTAAGAGATAAAGTCTCGGGGGCGTTACAATGGCGGACAAGGCCGTCCCGACCCTCCCGCTGCCGGCGAGTCCCTTTCGTCGCTCTGTCTCTCTCGCACTCGAGGGGCGTCCAGCATGCGTGCGAGAGAGACAGAGCGACAGCTGCCGTCCACGCTGATGGTGCTCGGCATCAAGTCCCCTCGTCTGTCCCGCCAAAAGACCCCTCCCTCTCCCACGGACGAATAGTTGCTGCGGACAAAACGGGGAATTTGTTTCGCCTCGCGAAACGACACGGCCGGCCAGAAAGTTGGTCCGGGCGAACGAAGGCCCGAAGGGGCCGGGCGGCACAGTCGGGACAAAGGGATGAAACAAGGACAGGACAGGAATCTAGTGGCGAAGAGGCTGATTTAAATTCCGCAGCCTGTCGGGGCTCTTTCAATGGGTCAAGTTTGAATCCTGCAGCAAGGGGGCGCGCGCACGAAAGGAGCCGCCCTCCTCCCCCGCGGCGGCGGCATGGCGGCGGGCTCCCCTTACGTTAGAGTTATTAAGGCGATTCTTCTCTTCCATTCGGATCAAGCGGCGGCGCGGCGATATTTCACGCGGCCTTCCATTTCCGCTCGGCAGCCCCGCCGCCCCGCCGCGGCCCCAGCGCGCCCTGGCGGGGCCTGGCGGGCCCCAGCAGGTGGACAGGGTGGCGAGATATCGAGTCCGCACTAAATATTCCCCGCCGCGCCTTTTCGGCACGCCTTGCTACGCCTTGCCAGCCTCGCCTCGGGAGGAATCGCCTTCCAATGGTTCGTTGCGAACGCGGAGCTGCGAGGCACGCTCGCTCCGAACCGTATGCTTCGTCGCTCCGTCTCTCTCGCACCCTCACGGAGCACCCCGAGTGTGCGAGTGAGACAGCGCGACTGCAGCACTGTTCGGATCGGAGGGGCTGGAGTGCGGGCCGTACCACAGTGGGCTAGAAGACTGGCGCCGACGGCCAAAACTCTAGACGCGTTCTGAGCTCCAGAGTCGCTAAATGGGACTCGAACCGAACGTGTGACCCCACCAATGGATTCCTCGTTCGGAGAGCAATCTATTGATGGGGTCACACGTTTGGTTCGAGTCCCATGTAGCGACTCTGGAGCTCAAAACGCGTCTAGAGTTTTGGCCGTCGGCGCCGGTCTCCTAGCCCGGACCAAAGTCAGGAATTTTCCACAGTGTAGCAACACCGCCCGACGCACGCGGCCTCGAAAGATGACGCCCGCCGTCTCGAAGACAAAGAAAGTGGTGGCGGTGGTGGTACTTCCCTGTACGAGGCGCCCACGCTCGAAGGCGCGCCGCCCAGAGAGAGAGAGAGAGTGAGAAAAGAGAGGGCCGTTTGGCGAATCGCTCTTTAGCCCTTTCCCTTCCCAGCGCGACGTATTTCAGCCCCGCCATGAATCGCGGGGTAATGAGCGGCACCGCAAAAAAGGGAAAAAACGAGAAACCGGTGGCTCTTGAGGCGAGAGAGAGGGAGAGAGAGAGAGAGAGAGAGAGAGAGAGAGAGCGTCTTCCTGTTTGGAGCCTGGAGCACGCAATGGCCCCCGGGTCCGTAATCACGCCCACTGGGGGTACCTGGTGGACCGAGGCCGGGGCGACGTCGCGCTGCTTATTTCCTCCGGTGGCAGAGGCCGTGGCAGAGGCCGTGGCAGAGGCCGTGGCAGAGGCCGTGGCAGAGGCCGTGGCAGAGGCCGTGGCAGAGGCCGTGGCAGAGGCCGTGGCAGAGGCCGTGGCAGAGGCCGTGGCAGAGGCCGTGGCAGAGGCCGTGGCAGAGGCCGTGGCAGAGGCCGTGGCAGAGGCCGTGGCAGAGGCCGTGGCAGAGGCCGTGGCAGAGGCCGTGGCAGAGGCCGTGGCAGAGGCCGTGGCAGAGGCCGTGGCAGAGGCCGTGGCAGAGGCCGTGGCAGAGGCCGTGGCAGAGGCCGTGGCAGAGGCCGTGGCAGAGGCCGTGGCAGAGGCCGTGGCAGAGGCCGTGGCAGAGGCCGTGGCAGAGGCCGTGGCAGAGGCCGTGGCAGAGGCCGTGGCAGAGGCCGTGGCAGAGGCCGTGGCAGAGGCCGTGGCAGAGGCCGTGGCAGAGGCCGCCCGGGTCGGAGCCAGAGTCTTATTTTCGTCTTTACTTCGGCTTATTTGGTTTCCACATAGAGTCCGTTTGAAGCGCGGCAGAAGACAAGAGCAATGGTCATTCAAGGCGCGCGCAAGGGTTAAACGAGGCGAAACAAAGGTTGAGAGCAGGCGAAAAAAAGACGCTGCGCAAGCTTATCTTTTTCGTCTTGAAATTGTCTCTATCGCGTTTTGATTTAGGCTTGCGGAAGCCGAAAAGAAGGCGAAAAAAAGACGAAAAGAAGACTCGCACGAGCCCGGCAGAAGAGCCGAAAAAAAGACGAGATTGAGCGCCGCCGGCCTCCGGTCGGCAAAAGAGGTGGTGGGGGGCCAGCGACCGCACTGGCGAAAAGTAAACACAGCCTGCGCTTCGACGCAGCGTCGAACTATGAACCATGAGACTCGGAAATCGGTGCCGCAAGCCGCTGGGCCAGGGCGACTTGTTGGAGGTTGGGTGTCTGAGCTTGAGTCCTGTCTCACGCTGCCGCGGCGGCTGGCTGTTGACGACAAACTCGACAGCTGTGTGGTGTGACGGTTCAATACCATTCATTCACTCATCGTCCGATCTATTCAATGCGTATGATTTCGCTAAACGGTGATAGAGAGCACAAACAGTAAAGGCGATACAAAAAATTAAGAAGTGTAAAATAATATTGAACCGTCACACCACACAGCCGTCGAGTTTGTCGTCAACAGCCAGCCGCCGCGGCAGCGTGAGACAGGACTCAAGCTCAGACACCCAACCTCCAACAAGTCGCCCTGGCCCAGCGGCTTGCGGCACCGATTTCCGAGTCTCATGGTTCATAGTTCGACGCTGCGTCGAAGCGCAGGCTGTGTTTACTTTTCGCCAGTGCGGTCGCTGGCCCCCCACCACCTCTTTTGCCGACCGGAGGCCGGCGGCGCTCAATCTCGTCTTTTTTTCGGCTCTTCTGCCGGGCTCGTACGAGTCTTCTTTTCGTCTTTTTTTCGCCTTCTTTTCGGCTTCCGCAAGCCTAAATCAAAACGCGATAGAGACAATTTCAAGACGAAAAAGATAAGCTTGCGCAGCGTCTTTTTTTCGCCTGCTCTCAACCTTTGTTTCGCCTCGTTTAACCCTTGCGCGCGCCTTGAATGACCATTGCTCTTGTCTTCTGCCGCGCTTCAAACGGACTCTATGTGGAAACCAAATAAGCCGAAGTAAAGACGAAAATAAGACTCTGGCTCCGACCCGGGCGTGGCAGAGGCCGTGGCACACTGAAAAAAAAGTCTAGTAACGATAACCAGAATCCTGGTACCAAATACCAGACTGTCTGATAGAATATAACTCAACTAGAATTCTGGTAAAAAATACTAAACTGTCTAGTTGGCCTCAGTCTAGTAAACCGTACCAGATTTATAGTTATCCTCACAATGCCGCCAGGTCCCCTTCTGGTAGTTTTTACCAAACATCCTGGTTAGTTAATGTGCTTACAAAACTGAAGTAAGAAGTCCAAAATTTAATAAAATATTTTTTCGTAGTGATGAAACCTGATGTGACGTCGATTTCGTTAACGAACAACCTCTGAATTGTTTTTTTCCCTCCTCCTCTCCTCCGGATTCGAACCGGGATCTCACACTTGTGAGACGGGCTCGTTACCACTGCGCCACCACGTCGCCTGTGGGTCGAGGGGATCCCCACCAGGTGACTCTCTACGTGTCTGGCTCAGGGAAATACTCCCAGTGTTTCTTTCGGATTTAAGACTCCGAAAATAACGAAACCGGTTGCAGTTTACTTTTTGACACCCGAACATTTCAAATGAAACGAATATTTTGAAGTTTTACGTATGGTGCCAATTACGGAACAGTCTGGTAAAATTTACCAGGATTATTAACCAGACACCTGGTAAATGTCACAACACCCGATCTGGTTACTGCAACTGATCATCTGGTGAGAGTTACTAGGATTCTCGTATGAGTAACTAGTACTCGTTTAACTAGGATTGGTCTGGTACTTTTAACCAGACTTTTTTCTCAGTGCAGAGGCCGTGGCAGAGGCCGTGGCAGAGGCCGTGGCAGAGGCCGTGGCAGAGGCCGTGGCAGAGGCCGTGGCAGAGGCCGTGGCAGAGGCCGTGGCAGAGGCCGTGGCAGAGGCGCCGTGGCAGAGTCCCGACACTGTGGCAAAAAGGTACGGAAAATCCTGTTAATTTTTTTGCCAGGATTCTCCGTAGCCCTCTTATCAATATTCTCCGTAGGCTCTTACAGTATTCTCCGTAGGGCCGCACAGTATTCTCTGTAAATCCGCACAGTCTTCTCCGTAGGACCTCGAAGACTGTATAGTCCTACGGAGATCACTGTGCGGTCCTACGGAGAATACTGTGCGGTCCTACAGAAAATACTGTAAGAGCCTACGGAGAATATTGATAAGGGGCCTACGGAGAATTACCACAAGCTGTTTACAGGATTTTCCGTAGCTTTTTGCCACAGTGGAGCAACAGGCTTTCCGCGCGATAAGACAGCAGGCCTCGGCCTGGCCCTGGCCCGCCTACAGCCCGTCCGTTCCTCGTGCGTCGGCCGGGCGGCCTGCAAACTGATTCCGAGAGTCACCTTCGTCGTGCTGTCTCTCTCGCACTCATGGAGCGTCCCGCGAAGGCGCGAGAGAGACAGAGCGACGAAAACGACTCTCGGAATCAGTCTGCAGGCCGACCGGACGAATTATCCGGGAAACGCTTGGCTAGCTCTGGGCCGCTCTTGGCCGCTCTTGGCAGTGGGCGAATTCCAGCACTCGCCTGGAGGCTCCAGGCTGGAGCTGGAGGCGCGGACGAGCCCTGACTGCCGACGCGACGCCGACGTTGAGTAAGAGGCTCGCAAGGACGGACTCTCCGCAGGCGCGGATCCAGAGGGGAGGGGGCGAGACAATTGACCCCCTTGGCCCCATGATAGCCGCCTGAGAGGCAGGCAAAAGGCCACACTTCGCCTAAGAAAGTAGGCAACGAGAGTACAAACTAGCTGACAGCTGACACCTTGAAGTGTCTTTTATTCTTCTATTCTATTAAATTGAATGTGGGCATCATCTGCTCAAAAGCTCTTCTTTGCCCTTTCCTACCTCTGGCTTGCTTCGGATTTACCACTAACTCGCCGCGCCGATCTTGCCGGGGCTTTTCATCACCAGCTTCGCGACGGAAGTCACAAGTACCCGCCAGCCGACAGCGGGAACGGAACGCCCTGGGCGCCGACCGACTACACACCGACCGCGGTACCAACCGCAACGCCGCCTGCCCAGTTCGGTTTGCTTTACCCCTGCTAAATTTTTATCTTTTATCTTTTTTGGCCCGCCTTTACCGGCGCCGCTCCTCGCAACGTTTCCAAGGTAGAGTCCCTTTACCGCGACTAACGAGGGTACTTCCCAGTAAGGACGGGTTAGTCTGTGTCGACCGGCGCTACGTACCAGGCGGGGCGGGGCTGTCGCTGGCCAGGGTCTCTCTCAACTTTATACCGACTTTTCGTTAATCGGCGCCGCGCCGCGCCACGCCACGCCACGCCGCGCCACGCCACGCCGCGCCACGCCGCGCCACGCCACGCCACGCCACGCCGCGTCACGCCACGCCGCGCCACGCCACGCCACGCCACGCCGCGTCACGCCACGCCGCGCCACGCCACGCCACGCCACGCCACGCCACGCCGCGCCACGCCACGCCACGCCACGCCACGCCGCGCCACGCCACGCGGCGCTGCTACGCTTCGCTCCGGCTTCTATCTGCGCCGCCATGTCGCGTAATGCCTCTGAGCAAAGGGACCTCGGGGAGCGTTGGAGACCTCCTCCCGCACAGGCCGGCCCCGTCCCGGCCGCGGGCGAGGGATCCGGGCGCACAGTGGGCCAGAAGACCAGTGGAGGCGGCCAAAACTCTAAACGCGTTTTGAGCTCCAGAGTGGCTAAATAGGCCTCGAACCGAACGTGTGACCCCACCAATGGATTGCTCTCCGAACGAGGAATCCATGGGTGGGGTCACACGCTCGGTTCCAGTCCTGTTACGCGACTCTGGAGCTCAAAACACGTCTAGAGTTTTGGCCACCTCCACCGGTCTTCTGGCCCACTGTGGGGCGGAGCCAGGCAGACGGAGAGCCAGGGAGCCGAGCCACACAGCGGGAGAAATTAGCCCGGCCGCTCTAGGACATCAAGGAGGTGAAGTAGGAGCACTCATTAGCCGACGAAGATGACCAAATCTCCCGCGAGGCTTATTATATCAACGCTAACAGCTTCGGGGAGGGGGTGGGGGGCTGGCGAAGCAGCCCAGGAAATGCGCGCGGGCGACACCGCGGCGGTGGCGGGGTCAACCACACCGAGCGGCGCGCGGCACGGAGCGGCGCGGAGCGGCGCCAAGTCCTTTCCCGTCCCTCTTTCTTTACCGTCGAGAGGAAGGCCTTGCCGGTGCGGCCTTGCCGGTGCGGCCCCGGATGCAAGCGACGCGAAGGGGAAGTTCAAAATTGAAGTTTACTTGGGGAATTAAACACGCAGGCTCGCCTCTCTCTCTCTCTCTCTCTCTCTCTCTCTCTCTCTCTCTCTCTCTCTCTCTCTCTCTCTCTCTCTCTCTCTCTCTTTGCTCGCCGCAAGCGGCAGGAGGACGTTCCCCCCCACCTGCCCACCGCGTCCATAACCTCATCACACCTTTCGTTCGCCCTGCGCTCGGCTGAGGAAAAGCCCGGCAAGTTTCAAAATGTCGAAGCAGAAGCAGACCGGACGAGCGAGTTTCGGCTCAGATACACGTAGCAGTAAGTTGGGTTGCCTATCCTCTCGGCTGCGGGTGCACTGAGAGCGAGCCAAAATAAAAACCTCTTAAAAACTGAACTGAGCCAGAGCAGTGCGAGGACAACAGCGCAGAGGCGTCTGCGCCAGGCCAGACCCTCAGACCCTCAGACCATGGTTCAACTCTGTTTGATTGCCTCTCCCAGTTCGGTTCAAACTGCAGTGGTTATCCAGAATAAAAACATGAGTTACACCCCCTCACAACAATCAAAAGCCCCCTCCACTCGTCGCCGAGTGAAGAACAAAAGGGATCAAACAAGCAAGAACCAGCAGCGCGCAGCGCGCCCTGGCGGCCGTTTCTGTGAACTGTCAAAAGCTAAACACTGAGTGGTCACAAATCGTGGCGCGCTAATGGTTCCTGGCTTGTTAAGTTAATTTTGTTCTTCACTCGACGACGAGTGACAGGGTAGATTTGAGACTCACCTCGACTTGCTTCAGCTTCAGGGACCCTCGACTCGTGGCTCCTGCTGGCGAAGGACGTCCTCCTGTACCTGTCCATCCGTGCTCTCCGGAGTCGGGGGGGATCCTCGCCCTCGGCTGGGGCTGCTCGATGAACCGGCAACAACACAGCAGCAGCAGCACCCGAGTCAGACAACGCCAAAGCCACAGCCCACTTCGACACCCAGTCAACACACCGAGTACAGCTGGGGGCTGCAAGAGGGCGGATGCCGGAAGGACGGTTGCTGCCGACCGAGAAGTTTACAGCGCCGGGCCAATGAGACGCCGCCGTCCAACGGCGTCTCGCGTCCGAGCAGAGAGAGGCTCTGTTGACGCGCGAGGCGCGAGGTTAGGACCGCCGCGGCGGCGACACTACAAGCGAAAGGCTGAGCGGCTGCTATTATCTCCGCAAACAACGGCGATACTTCGGAAAAGATTGTTCAAGTTGAAGGAATCCCGATTCGGCGGCCGGATGCTAATGCAGCTCTCGGCGCGTTCGCTGCGGTTCGGCTCGGTGCGGCTCGGTGCGGCGCGCTCCCTCCCCTCTCGACCCTCTCGACCCTCGCCTCGCCTCGCCGCCTCTTGTTGTTATTTTTCCTGCGAATAGCGTTGGGTTTGTGCAAGCATTATCGGCAGCGGCGGCGCGTCGAGCAGAGCGAGCAGAGTGGTGCAGACGGGGGAAGGAAAGCGATTTTTTTTCGGGGGAGTGGAGGGTAGGGGGAAAGGGGGGCCGGTCGTCAGAATGTATCCGCGTGTCGCGGTAAACACAATAAGTGTCAAAGTGAAACGGTGCGGGCCTGCCAGCCCCGCCAGCCCCGTTCGCGGAAAAGGGGAGAGAGGAGAGGGGAGGAGAGGAGAGGAGAGGAGAGGAGAGGAGAGGAGAGGAGAGGAGAGGAGAGGAGAGGAGAGGAGAGGAGAGGAGAGGAGAGGAGAGGAGAGGAGAGGAGAGCAAAAGAGAGACGTCGTCGTCCGCCATTCAGCCTCTCTTTCCGCGCTGCTTCCGACATGGCATGTCTCTGCTTCACCGGCTCCATTCTCGTCACGACAAAACGAGAGAGAAGGGAAGTGATCGCAGGGAATCATGTTTAAAAGAGGCAATCGAGAAGTTGAATTACCGCGCGCGGTATACGCACGGTACCGCACGCCGGAGTTTCCGAAAGTCCCCGGCCCCAACATGGGCAACATGCACCTGGTGCCGAGGCTGCCGCAGAGCATCCGCGTCCCGGCCGTCCCGGCCAGCCCCGCCAGCGACTGCATTTGGGTGGGAGCAGGTCCGACATTCCAGAGATTGTTTTCCTTCTTCCTGTGCCTTTCCCGCGCGGGATGGAGACGGGAAATGTTTTCCTGGCGCCCATGCCGTGAGTGCCAGAGGCAGCCAGAGGGGCTGCCGCCGCCGCCGGTGCGTGTGTATGTGTGTATCGTCGTCGCAGGGCTTTCGCTTGCTTCGCTATTGGGGCCTTCGGGCCGCACGGGGATGGAGGAGGGCCGTGCCAGGCCGTGCCGCGCTTTGCAGCCCTCGCGGCACAGGCCTGCCACTCTGACACTTTGCCAGGGGGTCCCCATCCCCGGCCCGTCCCAGGGCCCTAGCACGGCCCAGGCCGCGGTGAGAGGCCTGGTGGAGAGGTGGCACAGGGCTGCATGGCTGCACGGGCCTCGATCTCCGTGGCAATATCTTAATGGCGCTGTCGGAGTGATATTGGTCCATGGAGTAAGTACAGGTCTGCCAACCGCACGCCCCTGCCACCGCTCCCAGCCGCTCCTGAAAGGGGCATCCAGGGGCAGCAACCCCTGAAAGCGGCTCGGGTCCTCGCTTCACAGGGATAGGCCTGGCGACGCTATGGCTGCCTTGTCGCTGGCAGTTGGCAACACTGCGAAAAGAGCAACCAGTTTCTCTTTGAAAAGAAGACCGTGGTCCCGTAGTCGCACTGCGCACGCGTTGCCGCGCGATGTGCGTCTCCTCCCGCCCATTATTTTGGCCCTTGTGACACAGTCTGACACAGTGTAGTGTAGTTGGCCTTCCAAAGCGCCCTCCCCGCTGAATACTGCAATACAGGCGGGCGGGCGGGACGGGGCGGGGTCTTGAAAGTACTCAGTCTCGTAATTAAATGCGAGACAGTAACTTCTTGCCCTCCCTGCCCGCCCTGCACGGCACCACGTCACATAGCCTCGCGCCAGGCTGCACTGCGCCACGCAATTGCGAGATAGTTGAGGCGTGGCGGAGAAGGGGAAGCGGCTCCGGCCCGGCCAGACACGGCAAGCCAGCAAGCCAGCAACAGCGGCGTTATGGGTAGTTCATCTGCAAGATGGTAGCGAGCTTGCGACGAGCCAGCGAGCTCAGGGCCTTGTTCGTCTCCACCAAGTTATAACGCTCGCGGGTTGGCCCGCTTCATCCCGCGACGCCCCCTCCCCCTCCGGAACAACCGACCCGTAATAATTCTGTCGCGTTTTGGTATTAAATTTGGCACGGTGTCCGGCCGCTGTAAAGTGACGGGGCAGGCGAGTCAGGTAAGTTTTCTCCGCGGAGAAGCTTTTCGTGAAGCAGCTTTGCCCTCCGTGCCCTCTTTGAACCTTACCATTATTTTCGTCCAATGAGCGGAGAGCGGGGTTTCGGAAATAAGAAGGTGTTCTTTCCGATTTCTTGCTGGACTTCCCCGGCGTATGCGCGCCCTGCTGCAGTCCCTCGCGCACGGGGTATCGACGCGACGGCTCGACTGGTGGCGCCACCACCCGGCAGTGGGACGGACTAGTGGGGCGTCGTTGTCGTTCGGCAGCAAGCCGCAGGGGAGCGCTAGCGCCGCCTGTTGAAACATCGCTGGAAAGAGGCTGATCCGCCGAAGTCTCAGAGCACTTTTTAGCAATTTCTTGCTGTTAATTTCGCCTCTGGCTCACTACCTTTATATCACCGAGTCAAAATGAGTACCATTGGAGCTGGTGTAAGTTATACTGTCTCGCGTCTGTGTCAAATCCTGGAGCAAGTGCAGTGCTATTTGTTGCCGGTCATGCAGCATCTTGACCATAACCTATCATTTCGATCAGCTTTGTTGTCATTTTGTCTGCCTTTCGCATTACTGTGGGCTTGAAAATCATTCAAGCCCCTCGTTTAATGTATTTGCTCCACCATATCTACAAGTTAATACATACTTGTGCCACCAAATGGCCTTAAATGGGTTTTCTGCCTGTGTTGACAATCATGATGATGTTGTCAAATGAATGCCCATCCATTTATTTTCTCATTGATGCGTTGATTTTGAGTCTTGCGTGTGTTCGGATTGATACTTCGTAAATGACGCAATGTGTTTCCTCGCAAGAGCGACGAACCCGTTTTTGTCCTTTACTTGCCAAGTGGGCTCTTTATTTGGTTCGTCTAAGCAGGTCTAAGGTTATGTTATTACCCCACTAAAGTCACTTGCACTTTCATACTTGCCATATTGTGTTTTGTCGGGTGATTAATTTGTATTTTTCTCTGTTTTACAGTATGACTTGTCAGCATCGCAATTCTCTCCTGATGGCCGAGTATTTCAAGTGGAGTACGCCCAGAAGGCTGTGGAGAACAGTGGGTAAGAATTGGGTTCGGTTTCTCACGGTGATAATATTTGGTTTCCATTATTGGGTTAGCTTTGATTTATGATGCACTGTAATGTTCTCAAAATATTTATTATTGTTTTATGATTCCAACTACCGCCATTTTTTTATGAATCATCCTTCATGACTCCTTTGCAGGACTGTTATCGGCCTTCGTGGAAAAGATTGCATAGTTTTGGCTGTAGAGAAGTTGGTGACATCAAAGTTGTATGAGGCTGGTTCAAACCGCAGAATCTTCAATGTTGATAGACACATTGGCATGGTAAGTCATAATTTTCAGATGCCTTATTCTTGTTTAACAAGATAATTTGTGAGTAATCCTTGTTTTTTGTTCTCTATTTAGGCTGTCTCTGGTCTTATCTCCGATGCCAGGCAGATTGTCGAAACCGCTCGTGCTGAGTGTGCAAACTATCGCTCACAGTATGGCACAAATATTCCCCTGAAGTATTTGAACGACCGAGTCTCCATGTTTATGCACGCATACACATTGTACAGTGCTGTTCGTCCATTTGGCTGCAGCGTCATTCTTGCTGCTTATGAAGCTGATGGTCCTCAAATGTACATGATTGACCCATCAGGTGTTTCATATGTGAGTTCAAAATTTTATAAATAATATTTGTATACTTCACAATGCTTACAGCTATTGATTACAAATGTTCTATTGACCAAATTTTATTGCAAATTTTTTTTTAGGGATATTTAGGCTGTGCCGTTGGTAAGGCCAAACAATCAGCAAAGACAGAAATTGAAAAGTTGAACCTTAAGGACATGACCTCTGACCAGCTTGTCAAGGAAGCAGCTAAAATGTAAGTTTTCTGTTATACAAAATTTATTAGATTTTTGATTTTTAGGATGCATTTTTAATCGTGTTAATGTTTGTTTTTGTTTAGAATTTACCAAGTACATGATGAACTTAAGGATAAGGAGTTTGAACTGGAACTCAGCTGGGTCGGAAAGAACACCAAAGGTGTCCATGAGAGAGTGTCCGATGCTGTATACCAAGAGGCCGAGAGGAGTGCCAAGCTAGCAATGGAAGATGACTCCGACTCAGAAACAGAGGACATGTAAAACTTATCTATCAGTTGTGATGAGGAAAAGAGTTTTGTCTGTGATGCTCTTTGGTTTAGTATCAATGAGCAGCAGTTGACTGAAAGTTAACTGTAGTGAAGCAGTTGACTATCAACACTTTGTTTAAAAGATCGTTTGGGTGAGAATTTTTTTTTAATAATAATAAACCTTGAAAATTGTGTACATTTTGTTTTAATAATTTGATTTCCTTTCCTCAACACTTCATACAATTTTATTGAATCACAATTACTAGTATATTCGAATAATGTCACAGTGTAAGCAATTTTATGTGCATCTGTAGCACCCGGCCCTCAAAATTACTTTGGTCGAGGGGTACCTCACTTCGTCTAGTCAGTGTACACCCCTGACTCCAGTCACTGCCTTGTTTCAGTCTAGTCACTGAAAAAGTCGGCAAAACCACGTAAATTTGTCCCAATTTTGGTATTTTTGCAACGCATTTCGTGATATTTTCAGTCTAGTCAAAGTGGAAATTGAGTATAGTCACCAGTCAGTGTACACCTGTTTTCGAAGTGAGGTACCCCTCGACTTTGGTACTTCCATGCTGCTTCTGCATGAGGGAAATGGAGAGCATTCATTGCTACAGGACTGTTTTTTATCCAATGGAGTTCCTTGAATAATTGACAGCCTGGCTGACTGCACCCTGTTTTTCCCAGTGACTGAAAGAGAAGGGCTGTGGAGTAGCTTGACAGGCGGGCATGCCCTGCAGGGCACAGGGCGCGCCACCGAGCCAAGGTCACCCGGGTCACGCTTCGCATGGTTGCTGGGGCACGGCGGGGCGGGCGTGCCGCGTGACTTACACTGTCGCTGCCGCTCCCCGCCACCCATTTCCCCATTTCGCCATCAAGGTGGATGGCCAATTTCCGAACGACTCGCGTGGTCGGCAAGGGAAATGGAGGGGGAGAAGAGGGGCGTGTAGGCGGGTTAGTGGCCGTCCCGTCGGGGACCCGGCGGGCCAGGCATGCACACTGTATATGCCGCCGCGTCTCCAGCGGTTACACCACCCCGCAGACTGATTCCGAGAGTCGTTTATCGTCGCTTAGTCTCTCTCGCACTAATTTGGTGTCCCAAACAGGCGCGAGAGAGACAGAGCGACGAAAAAGACTCTCGAAATCAGCCCGCTGGGGCTGGGCCCTGGAGACACGGCGTCCCCGTCACGCGAGGGGGCTGTCCTGTCATGGGCATGTGCCCCTCCTGTCCTGGGCGCTTCACTGCTCGCTGCGCGACCTGCACCGTATTAATGTTGTATCTTGGCGTTCAAGTTGGGGTCAGGGCGCGCCGGCACGCCGAACCGGAAGTACATTCTTCGGCGGGGAGGCCAAGCCGCCAGGGCACGCGTCCAGGTGGGGCACAGTGGGCCAGAAGACCAGTGGAGGCGGCCAAAACTCTAGACGCGTTTTGAGCTCCAGAGTCACTAAAGGGGACTCGAACCAAGCGTGTGACCCCACCAATGGATTGCTCTCCGAACGAGAAATCCATTGGTGGGGTCACACGTTCGGTTCGAGGCCCATTTAGCGACTCTGGAGCTCAAAACGCGTCAAGAGTTTTGGCCGCCTCCACCGGTCTTCTGGCCCACTGTGTGGGGTCTGTTTGTTCCTGCCGCCCTCCCAGGCTGATTCCGAGAGTCGTTTTCGTCGCTCTGTCTCTCTCGCACCTATAAGAGACGCCCGATGAGTGCGAGAGAGACAGAGCGACGAAAACGACTCTCGGAATCAGTCTGCTGCACGCCTGCAGTCCGTCCGCGTGCGGCATCGAGCACGCCGTCGATGCGCCGGGGGCCGGCGGCGGCCTTGGCGAGGCCTTGGCGAGGCCTTGGCCCGGAGGCGCACCGGAGGCAGGCGAGGCCGCCGTCAAGCCGCGCGCCGCCACACCGGTAATCAGGCGCCAGCTTTACGACGACAAGAGGGCAATGAGCATGTCCGGGACGGCGAACGAGGAACACGACGAACCTTCACGAGGAGCACGCCGACGCGCAGTGCAGCCACGGGGTGCAGCGCAGCGCGCCCCCAACCCCCAACCCATCCCCCGGAGGAATACGGCGGGGAAGGCCCAGCGGCGGCGACCCCCACGTCCCCCACGCAGCCAGCGCCGCAGCGCGCCGCACCGCCGCCGCAGTGCACGCTGCGGGGGCGGGAGGGGGTACAAACGCCCACAAAACGCTCTCGGGATCAACAAATGCTCCCTCTCATGTCGAAGAAATACCCTAGGGATGAGAAAATTCTCGCGTACAATCCGTCGCTTGTCGATCCGTTGAGGAGCAGCTGGTGTTGCTGTGGTGGCCGAAGGTAGTGGACCTCGAACGCGACGACCCATAGTTCTTTCTTTTCCTGACCTGTTCGCCGTCCACAACAGTCAAACTCTTTGCGACTGTGACGTGGCCGCCTGAAGGGTAGGCAATCCAACGCGCTCGTCGGCCCGCGCCCGCCCGCCGAGTGACGAGTCGGCAACCCAATGGACGCGAACGAGTCAACAAAGTCGTCTGGCGCCGTGACAGTGTGACAGCTCCGAGCTTCAAACGAAGAGGCCAATTGAGTGGAGGGTACCACCCGGCTCGGCTCGACTCGACCCGACGCCCGCATCCTCGGCGCCACGCCGTCGCCGGCGTGCCAGCTGTGCGGCCGGCGGGTTCGCGGCGCCGCGGGGGCTCAGAGCCCGGCCTAGCCTGGCCTGGGCCCCGGCTTGGCCTCGGCTGCGTTGCTCGGCTCGCGTTCGGCCCGCGGCTCAGGGGCCCTTGGCGGCCTGGGGGTGGGGCGGGCGTCGCTTTGGTCCCGGCCGTCCCGGCCCCGCCGGCCTAGAGGCCCTGCCGCGCTGCCGCCCTGGCCGCCAGCCCCCACCCGGCGCGCCGCCGCCGCATGGCGCGGGGCCAGGCTCAGTGCATGGCCAAACGCCGGCCGGTGCGATCAGCTGTTCCTCCCCTGCGGCCCGCCGAGGCCCGCCACCGCCACCCGCGCCGACGCGGTACGCGGCCACGCGACTTCGCGGCTCGGGCGCGACACGGACGCTGCGCGGCAGGGCCAGGCAGGGCCAGGCAGGGCTCCGTCGCGGCGACACGAGACGAGACGCCGGCAGGACCGGCCTGTGACCAGCGGCGCGCCGTCGCCAAGCGCCACCAGCGGGCAGGACATCTGCAGGACATGCATCGGCTGCTGCGGTGTCCCTGCCGTCCGCGTGGCGGCGGTCGCCTGCCTTGGCCTCGGAGGTACGTGTCCGTCAGCCGCCGCACGGAGGGAAGTCAAGCCGGAGTGGAAACAAACAAGGGGTCAGTTTGCACTTCCCGCTCGTAAAGCGTTCGGTTCAAACGCTGAGCTCAACCAACAGGACGCACCAAAGTTTTGAAACTCAATACCCTAGCTGCGCCGCGTGCCGCGGACACGCCACGCCACTGGCAGCGCCTGGCTGCTTCGCGCGTGCTGCGTGCGCGCGTTGCGTGCCGCGTCCGTCGTGACGGCATGCTGGGCGTCGAGGCGCGCGCCGCGCTCCGCCTCGGCCGCCAAGTGGGCGAGTCTTTGTGACACACGGCACGGCGTCACGTGACCGTCACGGCGGGCCGGGCGGGCGGTGCTGGCGGGGCCCTCATCCTCAACAAGTGGTCCGGTCCTCCTCGATGGCAAATGGGCCGACGGGTCGCACTTAGGCCCGCGGCGGCCGTGGAGGCCATCTTGGTCTCCTTCGAGTCTGCGAGTCCTCTCCCGCGCGGGGCCGGGCTGCGCCGCACGCCGCACAGTGGGCCAGGAGACCGGTGGAGGCGGTTAAAACTTTAGACGCGTCTTGAGCTCCACAGTCGCTAAACAGGGCTCGAATCGAACGTGTGACCCCACCAATGGATTGCTCTCTGAACGAGGAATCGATTGGTGGGGTCACACGTTTGATTCGAGGCCTGTTGAGCGACTCGGGAGCTCAAAACACGTTTCGAGTTTTTGCCTGCCGGCGCCGGTCTTCTGGCCCACTGTGCGCCGGGCTGCGCGCGCTTGTGCTGCGGCAGCGCCAGGGCAGCGCGATGCTGCGATGACGGACGACGTGCGGCATAACAGGCTTTATCAGTGTGCCGCGGCTCGTCTGCCTTCTTCGGCCTCAAACAATGCCATGCCGTTGCCAGTTGTATCTCCTTCTCTCCGAGCTTCTCTGCGCTCGGCGTCTGATTCCGAGAGCCGTTTTCGTCGCTTTGCCTCTCTCACTCACGCGCCGTCCCGTATAGGTGCGAGAGAGACAAAGCGACGAAAACGGCTCTCGGAATCAGTCTGCAGGCAAATACGGCGCTTCGCTGTGCCTCGAGCTCTGCCTGCTCTGCCTGCTTTGCTCTGCGGTTCTCGAACCTCGAACGCGCGGTGGCCCGGTCCCGGTGGGCGTATGACTGGTGTGACGCGGGCCTCGGCCTGTCACCCCTCGCCCCGCCTCGCCCCGCCTCGCCCCGGGGACACCTCGGTACGCCCGGGGTCAAATTATCAATTACTGTGTCAGCCAGGCCTGGCCAGGGCACACGTCCGGGCGCGCGTGTGTTTGTGTGTGTGTGGTGTGTGTTTGTGTGTGTCTGTGCCTGTTTGTGAGATTGATAATGTGCTGTCGCCCCGCTGGGCTATTCGGAGTCATCAGGCGCGACGAGGCACGTCTCGGTGAAAGAGTTTTGTGGTGTGGTGGCGTCCAATTACATCGATACTATCATCAATGCTAAAGGGGGAGGGAAAAAACATTCCTTTTGTTTACTGGCTCGGGTGACGCTGCCCGTAGCTTGCTTTTTGCGCGTGGTCAGTGTAGCGGGTCTCTCTCGGGTATGAAGCAACGCGTCGTAGTGTGCACACTGCATATTCCTCTGCTTGCCTCACTACCGCTGCGCGCTGCGCTCTGCGCGCTGCGCTCTGCGCGCTGCGCTCTGCGCGCCGTGCCGCCACGGCCAACGGAATCCGCATGGAACTCTAGATCGTGCCGGCCAGTGCATTGCACTGGAAAAAAAGAATTAGAGGAAAACATCGGCTGCCCGCGGACTTGAGCGCAGAACCGACCCACAGCGAACTGAACCGAGCAGCAGCAATGATTCAGATTTCCTCGCTCTGTTCCTCTCGCGCCTGCACGAGACGCCCCGTGGGTGCGACAGAGACAGAGCGACTCTACAGTGTGGCGGCCCACTGGTGGCAGCGGACAGCAGGCGAACACGAAAGGGTTCTCGATAT